TATATATATATATATATATATATATATATATAATTTACAAGAAATTGCTTTAGATAAAAAAAAATTCAAAAAAAAATAGCCCGGAACACTTAGGCCCGGGACCATATGGGTTTAGGCCCGTAGTGGGCCAGTTCCACCCTCCAGGACCGCTAAGCCCAGGACCATTTGGCTCGGAATCGCCAGAGACCGACCCGCCAGAGCCCGGGACCGTTTGGCCCGGCCCGTTTAGCCCATTTAGGCCCGGGCCCGGACCAGAATACAGTCTTAGGCCCAAGTTGAGGCAAGACGAAACCAGTCCGCATCTGAATGGATTGTCTATTATACCCTTATATATGTTCTGTCACGAGGATAAATTAGTAATTGTGGCGAAACATTCAGAAGCTGCTCTCTCGCCCTGCTCCTCCGTCTCTCACTCAATTTCTTCTCCTCTGTTGGTCTTGCCTGTTTTCCTCTCAAAGTTTCTCCATCTAGCTCCTGCTTGGGCTCGATATGTGTGTTGTACTTCTCCATTCTGGTGAGTATTTTTGCTCCATCCCGATTGTTGCTAATGGGATTTTGCTGGTTTCTGTTTTTAATCCAACGTATGTCAGTAATCGCATCTGATTTACACATGCATGTTTCGAAATAGATACCCAATTGCATGATTTTGAGGATACAAATCTGATTTTTTTGAAAAATCAAACTTTAACTCCTTTTTCCCGATGTTTCTCTTCTTTTTTCTCTTTGTTGATGGTCAAATGGTGTGTTTTCAAAACTGCCTATCAAGTGTGCGAGTTGCTATGTTTTGTTTTTTTGGTCTTGCAATCAAAAAGTAGGAGTTATTGGGAAAAGAACTTGCACAATTCAAGTTATTTAATTTGCTTAGGTATCAGAAAGAAACAGAAAGTTTTACGTAATAGCTAAAGACACAACTGTCACCTGGTATTTGATCGTCCACTTGAAAGAAGTCTGTCTGGTATGCCAATCTGGTTCAAGGTGTTTGATGGTATGCCTGAAACAGTAGAATACCAATTTTTTCCAGGTGTTCCATGATATGCTCATCTATCATTCAGGAAATACAAGGTACATTATTACTTAAAATGGACAGTATCGTTAGCCTATCTATCTTGTGTTTCATTTTTGTCTTTTGGTTGGAAACCCCAACCCTTTAAATCCTGATACCATAACAAGAGAATTTGAAATTAAAACTTAATATCATAATAAGAGAATTTGGAATCAACTAATGAGGTATCGATTCTTTGAATTACATTTGAAGTTAATAAAAATGTACTATAAATCTATATTTTCACGAATTATTGTCTCTGTGTATGTGTGTATAGAATTTGAAGGATTACATATATGAACCAACTATGATAGCAAATATTTTGGGAAAGCAAGCAATCCTTCCGAGCCCTCTGTCATCTTCATATATCACTTAAGGCCGGCCCTGAACATGTGTGCTTTACTTACACGGTTTCTGTTAGGATTTTGCCAATCATCTCATGAAACTTGCATTAGTTAGTGGACCGCATTTTAATTTTCCCACTCATAAGAGGTGTGTATACAACGGAAGTTTGTTTTGAAAGATATAAATTTCAGGTTCATGCCTGAGATCAGTTCATCAAGACGAATAGAAGGAGCCTAAAATTTTTGAACCTCAATACCTGTCAGAATACCTGTCGTTGAAGAAATAGATGAAGCAAAAATGAGAACAAAACTAAAGTCCTCAACTATATCGAAGTTCTTTTCTCTGCTGTTGATCATGCTCATGATTGCTTTTGTTGTATCGATTACTGATTCTCCATTAGCTGAGGTAAATGAGGCTGATAGCTCAGAAAACGATCTAGAACAAGGACAGTATGACTTGGAGATTGAACATGTTTCTTTAGTTATCCTAGCTGAGGGGAATCAATACTCTGATAGTTCAGAAAGGGATCTAGACCAAGGGCATCTTACAGCTTCATATCTTCAGCTTGAGTTGGCTGAAACGACTATGAGTTTTGATTCTGTACTTGAGTCAGTGAACCACATTAATACTGAAAGCTTAAGCTCTGTGAAAGACGATTTTGCTTCTGAAGATGCCCAACCTTTGAAAATGCTGCAGAGATCTCCGATTGATAGAAATGGAGGTAATGTTGGAGCATTCCATATCCTGGGAATTTCCTCATCCTCACTTGTCCTGGGTTTGCTAGCTGCGACAGTTCTCCAGCTCTATCTAAAGAGGAGATGTGATAAGATCATTCTTCATCCCGTAGATGAAGTCTCAAGTAAGAATATTGTAGATGAACTTCAAATTCACCAGCATCTGCCTGCGCTTATTATCAAATTGATAGTTGATAGAATATTATATGTAGATATACTAGCGAAATCATACAGTAAGAGGTCGCTTTGTAGCTGGTTAGGAGAAAAGTTATCTATGTATTGGGGGCAACATAACTTATACAATGTTTGGTAGCCATTAGTTATTTTGTACAAAATTCAGCATAACTAATACCATGTTTGGTTGTCATTTTACAATTCTACATAAATAGTACATGTATAAGTTACGAGTCAATCTGTGTATTATTTTATGCGGGGTAGAAGATGAAATAACTAATACATGTATTAGTCATACATGGATAAAATATTGAAATGACAAATTTACCCCTATCATTTTACACATAAAGGCTTCCTTCTATACATGTGATTTTCTTTGTCCAAGGTCGGACTCTCGTCAGGCTCTCCAATAATTGTTCCTCCTAATGTGACAGAACATAATGTTGTCAAAGAGAAAGAATATTCCTCTCAAAACTGGCCAACAGAGGTTGATGTCTCAGGGGAGTACTCTTGTACTTCAGAAATGAGCTGCAGCTTTCAGATGAGTTCAACTTATAAAGAGAAATATCCCGAATCAGTAAATGATGACGAAGCTCAGAGCATAGAGAAGAAACCAAGAAAGAGTAATAGGAGAGAGTCCTTGGCTGCGTCTGATGAGTACTCAATGGGTTCACCTTCTTATGGAAGTATCACTACATACGAGAGGGTTCCTAGCAAGCATGCAAGTGGAACGGAAAATGCCATCATCCCCGTAAGGCGCTCAAGCAGAATTAGAAGCCATGTCCCTTCTTCAACATTTAGATTCTGAAGATGTTTTGCTTGTTTGCTAGAGCAGAACCAGAAGTCATGTAACAAGCAAACATCTTTTAGGCATAGTCATTCCTAACTAATACATTCTGACGCAATTGAAGTGATCCAGACGTAGTGATTTGTGTTCTTTTTTATGTTTTACTTAGCTGATGGCTTTGATAGTGCAACTTTCTACATGCTGTTTCTGTAAGTGGAGAATTTCCAGTGATTTGTGCATAACCCTTTCTACATACTGACTCTGTGAGTTGAGGTTTTTCAGGTGGTTTGGTGTAACACTTTGCTTGACCTCCTTGTAGTAGCTGGGGCACTGAAGATCAACCTGGTAGATCAGTTAATGTTGATGGGTTAGCTTCAAGAGGAGGAAACTTTTCCCTCACTGGAAAAATAGAAAAAAGTCTTATATGGTTTGAATATTTTGAGAGAGGTTTTGGAAGGAAACTAGAGTTTGACTATATATCTATATTATTATAACATTATGAATACAATGTCGGTTTATAAAAATAACCTTATAATATTAAGCATTATAACTCATAATAAAAGGACATAACCGGAATTCTAGATATTAGCATTATAATCCTATTAGTTTTAGGACATAATACTACATGTTAGGAATCTTACATGATTACCTTTAGGAATACTATTAGTATAATTACTTTCGGCTGGCTAATTCATATAAAAATGAACAAGTAAATATCTTTAGTCATGCAATCTCATTACTTTCAGGATATACTTCTTAAGAATTCCTATTACTAATTTAATTTGAAAAGTAATATAATGTCCTATTACTAATTTAATTTGAGAATATATTATATTGTCCAAATCCATTTAGAAAAAGGAGAGCCTAAATTATTATAAAAGCATAAATACAATATTAATATACCAAAATAGCCCAAAAAGATTAAACGGAAGAGCTCATAGGGAAAGGACATTACTGCAATAACCTTTTTTTTTCAATACAATACCTTCTATGCTAATTTTTAAAATTTAAGATTTAAAAATTAATAAAATTTATCTATTAATTTTTTATTAAAAATATGTAGGAAGGTTTAATAAAGTCAATTTCATAAGAGTCCTCCGTATTGGCAATACATTACTACTCCATAATGTCCAATACCAAGAAAAGGAAAAGTAATATTGAATGGACTGTATAAAGAGTTGAAATTGAGAAAAAAATACCCCACAATAATATATTTTTATATTATGTTTGAATTATTTTTCTACTCAAATAATATTTTTTAATCAATTTTTTGTCTAATATTAAAAAAATACCCAATTATTAAACAATTAAGAAAATATTTAAGAATATAAATGTATGAGAAAGAGGAAAAAAAAGGTTGGTAAGAGTCAATACCACTAATGATTCTATAGACATAAAGATCTAGAAGTTAAATGTCATATATAATTTTTTACTCTTTGAAAATAAAATTTATGATGGATAAAATTATAACTAAGACTAAATATTCAAAACAAGAGATGAACTAATATTAAGATCTAAATCAACATAGAATAGATTATTTTTATGTTAAAACCAAATAATTAAATTTTTTAATTAATTATTTAACAAGAGAATCCAATTTAATTATTTTTTAAATTCATCATATGAGTAAAATTCTTATTCAAGTTAAAAAAAAAATCTTAGGATACATAATTTATTCAATATAAAGAGCGTTAGAACACAAAGTAAAAAAGTTAGTATATTATTAAGAATCAAAATGATATACAAGTGTCTGAGGAAGCACAATCAAAGCTAAATCCTAATCAAGAATAAACTTTTAAGACTATAATACAAAGAGTCGGCTCTGCTATAACAAGATTATTCTTTATAGATGCCTCCGACGAAATTGAAATAATATTTCTATGTCATGCATTACTTGCAAATATCATATCACGAGGCATGACACTATTATAATAGCAAGTGGTATACCAACAACGATTTTATTGTGAGGACACCCACTTTAGATTTGATATACCTCTTCAAACAACTTAAATAACCATCACAAATATATCAAAGCAAAGCAATAGTGCTAAATTTATAAGGAAATTAAAATTGATAATATGGAATGAAACACTTATGGCTAAGTGTCAAACGATCGAAATAATTATCCGGAGTTCTAGAGATATATTGGATATTAATGAAATGTTTGGTGGAAATTAATGGTTTGAGAGGTAATGTATGTCAAGTACTACCAGTAGTTTCAAAATTGACAAAAGTAGAGAATGTAAAAGCTTGCTTGCCAAAGTTATACTTCTAGTATCAAATGAAAAAGATTCAATTAACAAGAAATATAAAGTAAGAACAGATTCAGTATTCAGTGTCTTCTTGCTTCGTATTGGAAACAAAGAAGAGCAACCAATAAAAGATGATTTGGTTCTTCCTGAACACTTGGTTATTAATGTCACACCTCCTTTTTGCGCGCCCCGCCCCGAGGGGTAAGATGCGCGGGTGGAGTTTTTCCAATTTAAGTGACAATATTCGAAATGGGATTATTTATTTAATTCAGAGTCGCCACTTGGGAAAGGTTTGACTTTTGGTGTCCCAAGTCACCGGTTTATCTTGAATCCCAAATCGAGGAAATTTTCGACTTTTCCAAATGAAGTCTGCGAACCAGAAATTCTAAGTAAGGAATTCTGTTGACCCGAGGGAAGGTGTTAGGCACCCTCGAATCCCGTGGTTCTAGCACGGTCGCTTAAATTGTTATAA